ATACTGCATCTGCGGCCCCCTGGTGCACGCTTCCCATTTTTCACCCCGCACGGGCAAATGACAGCTTGTGCTTTCCGAGGGAACGGTGAACACCAATGTGTGCTTCCTTGCTGGTGTTCCCTCCTCCACCTTCTCCTACTCTTTCTTCATTTCTTTTCTTCTTATTCTTCTTTTGTTTATTTTTTGAATGGCTGTTTCTCATAATGTACTAAACGTACATAAAACATCTTACTTGGCTTTCTCCTCAAAAAGACACCCTCCTAATAGACAGAAGCCTGAGATCAGGAGGAAGTGAATGGGTCTCCATTAGAATAAAATTAAAGGATCATCCTAACAATGTGTTCATCACTCTACTGTTCAAATATTTTAAAGTATTTTAAGCCTCTCGCATTTGGGTGACCCGGAAGATCCCGGTATGTGATAATTGGCAGCGCTCTTCTCCCAGCCACTCTCACTACGTCCTACGTGGGCATTGCAGGCCGTAAGGCTCCTTTAGGCACAAATTGCAGAACAATTACTGATGAGAGAAAGGTCATAATAATAGGTTACAGAAGTCTGGCCGGCTTGGGACCACTTAGAAGGAACCATTTTGTCCTATTGTTATAAAGATAAGAAGGAAGTACTTTAAGGTAGTTAGAGACAAGCAAACAAAAGCCAGGTTTGCAGAGCTATATAACTTCTACTTTCACTTCCTGCCTACTCCATTACTTCTAGCATTATGAGAGAAATAACATGATTGGAATGACCTAAAGGTTAGGGGGTGGGCAAGTTTTACCTGGAGGAAAGTAGACTGAATACTGTTGGCTAAACCTTTCTGAAAGTGAAAAGTAGTAACGTTTAACAAAATACCAAGCTGGCTGTTGGAGTGTGAAAGGACTCCAATCACATTTAGCCACTAGGTTTTTTTCCTTCTTCCTAAGTGTGTATCCTTTATTATGAAAGAAAGGTAGAATGGAGGTGGGCAGAACCAGGGAGAGGGGAGGATGGGCAGGAATTGATGGCGAGAGAGGTGGCGGGGGTCGTTTGCTTGAAAACTGAATGCCCATTGTGACACTTCTACAGCTATAGTCATTCCAAATGTTATATCAAGAAATCGATATGTATTCTGAATTGTTTTCAATCAATAAATATTTCTTGAGCATTTATTCTGTGTCAAAAATGACTTAACAAAGCTCAAATATCTTTCCTCTTAGCACATAAGACTCATTTATCTGAGCTCTGCGGATCTTTAAAAGGTTGTATAAATGGTATCTGGTCTCAGGAAACTTAAAAAAGATCTGACAACAGCTCAGTTCTGAAAAATAAGCAGATTCATGATATTAGGGACAATATATATATATATATATTAAAAACACATATAAACATACAGAAGCACCAATAAAATACATTGTAATGTTACCAAGAGCAAAACTAAACTTTTTACTATTTGCTGCATATTTATATTGATTCAATCACCTGAACCACAATTTATATACTTTTCTTGAGATAAGAGGAATATTACCAAGCTTTGAAAGTAAAGTTGGTGTTTAATCTTTCCATGAATTTCAAATTCAAGCACATGATTCCCTGGCCATGAGTATGAAGAGAATCAGCATTCATAACGAAGGACACGAGTGGCCAGGCTGGTCAGCATGGATGCAAGGTCAACACAGAAGGGACTGCAGCAGGAACGATGGGCCCTTGGAAGAAAAGATAAGTTGTTCAGAAAGCCTGACTAGAAATTGAAATGCCATTCAGACAAAAATGCCTTAGGGTTTCTGCCAATGGTGAATTGTAATTACATATTCCTACCAATAATTTTTAAAAGATATCTAAGTTGGAGCATGAGTGCATTGCTAGACTTGGAATTTGCTGCCCAAGGTAGAGTTAACCACACAGGTCAAATCAATTCGGAACTTTTCCTCTGTGTTCTCATGTGATACCTGGATCCTTTTCAAAAACCACGTGATTTCAGAAGTTTAAGATAAGCAATTTAACTTTGGGGTGTCTACTGAAGGCACAGAAATTCTTTTTCCTTTTGGGGGGAATTGAATCCACTGGACTACAACCTCAACACCTTTTGGGGCACTGTCTCACTAAGGTGCCCAGGTTGGCCTTGAATTTGAGATTCTCCTGCCTCAGCTTCCCACATAGGGTTTATAGCAAACACAGAACACAGAAGAACAATGGACACAGTGTGATCAAGCCACAGTGCAATTCAACTTGTTTCCTCAACAAAGAAAGGCTGGGTGATTAAGGGGGCTGGGGCAGAAGGAACCTGTAAATTAAGAGACTTAAAAGACACACACCACATATGCATATAATATATATAATATAATATATAATATGTGGACATTATTTTTTATTCTTGACAAAATATGAAGCTACTTTTCAAAATTATGTCATTTTTGAGACATTTGGGAATTTTGAATGTTGACTGGATATTCAATCATATCAAAAATTGTTGCCACCTTTTTAGGGCAATAGTGACTTGTTGGGCTTTTTAAGTCTTTACCTTTTAGAGATTTTTATAGATGAAATGGCATGGGGTATATTTCAAAATGATCCGAGGAGGGAGAAGTCAGTGAAGTTAAAATGAAATGATATTATTTATAAATTAACAATTATTTAAAGTGGGTGATAGTGTACCTAGGCATTTGTTATATTGCCCTATATTTCAAATTTTCCAAAATCAAAAAGTTTCTTTTAAAAAAAAGTCATCAGTGAGCTAAAATCAGAAAAGTATACACAGAAGCCTCAGTTTGGGATATGCTGGTAAATTTTTAACTGTAAGAATAAGATTCCATTTGATCCAGCTATATCTCTTCTGGGTCTCTTCTCAAAAGAGTTAAAATGTGCACACAGCACAACTCAGCAAAAGCTTGAAAGCAGCCCAGGTGTCCATCAGCAGATGAGTGGGTAAAGATGTGGTATTTCCACACAATGAAGTACTACTTAGCCACAAAGAAGGATATGTTTGAGTTATTTAGAGGGAATCATTGAGAATTTAATGTGTGAAATGCATTAGACCCAGAAGGTTAAATATGGCATGGTTTCTGTTGCATGAGAAACTCAAAATATAAATAAGTTAAAGAAAAAATAAAAGATGATCGAAAACAGGGAGACTATGCAGATGGGAAGGGGATCTGGGAGGGGGAAAGTGGGAGAAGGGAGGAGGAGGGGAAGTAAAGAGGATCAAGATGCAATATGCTTAAGTACCCATTCCCCGCAATGAGCATAGTATACCAATAGTTACAGAGTATGCTAATAAAAAAGGGAAGGAAATATTAAGTTATTACTAAAATTAAAAAAAATATATATATGTATATATATATTTCAACTGGCTTTCCAGTGAGAAGGAAGACTTGATGCCTACGTAGCATTTTCTGGTTCTGTGGGGAACTCAGCACCCCTGGAAGGAGAGCTGAGGATAGGTGGGCAGAACTGGCTCCCACCCTCACTTGAGTGACCCCGACTGATGCTCTCTTGGAGACTTCCTGTGCCTTTGAGACGTTTGAGGGTATATAGAGCCAGTTGTGTGAGAAGCATCTATGCACATGGTCTGGCTGGCTTTCTAGAAATTACTCCTTATCTTACTCTTCTTCTCCTGCCTATGTCAATTTTTTTTTAATAGGTGGGCTTCACCTTTTTAAGTAGCTGATCTGATTTTTTTAACAGACACCTAACTAAAATCCACTATGCACTTTTCTGCATTTTTATCTTTTCTTTTCTTTTCTTTTTGTACCAGGGATTGAACTCTGGTCCTTGTGCTTGCAAGGCAGGCTCCAGAACCGCTGAGCTAAATCCCCGGTCCTTTCTGCATTTTTAAATGGTAGACACTGAACCCAAATTTCTGCAGCCTGCTTTTTTATGTCATGTTAAGCAAATAATGATAACAATATTCCTTTGATATTACAGGTTTATTTTTAGAAACTGATTATTGAAGCTGCCCTCAGAGATGGCTTAGGTCTGTAAAGGAATTTGTTGCTACAACCTGATCCAAGACTGATAGGATTTTTGCCGTCTTCATGTTTGATTTTTGTAGCATTTCTCTTTCAGCCCTTCATGTCAGGTGACCAGGTATGACTTTGCATTTGTAAGCCACTTAAACTTGAGAAGTAAATAGTAACTATCCACAAGTTTTCTACAGTTGCTGCCTTCTGTGGATGTACATTAGCCATAAGCTTCACCGGAACTTTCGTATCTCCGGAAGTGAATGTGACTACTTCCGGTTGGTAACACTGCCTGCTGTGTGGGCACTGAATTTCCACAAGCACTGGTAGCTTCGGATAATTAGGCTTACCCAATTACTTAAATATTTTTATTGTGTTTTTCACTCACAGTTTCATGCCAATATCTGTGAATAGCAAAATGAAAATGCTCATGCCACTGACATGTATAGATCCTATAAGTGTAGGCCACGTGATAAGTGCGGTAAGGCAGAAATTGTTAAGTGTGTCATTGAGGGAATCTGTTTTTTTTTTTTTTGTTTTTTTGGTGGCAAGGGTCGAACTGAGGTCCTTGTGCTTGCAAAGCAGGTGGCAAAACCACTGAGCTAAATCCCCAGCCTCCATTGAGGGAATCTTTGGCTTCAATTAGGAAATGGGCAAAATTAAAACTATAGTACTTGTGAAATGCTGGCAGTTACAATACTAAAGTTCAGGGTCAAATTTAATTTTTTTTTTTTTTTTTTGAGAATGAAGATACTCACAAGACCAAAGTGTAGTCTGTTATTTGACTATTTCACATTTAACCTAAATATGTCCTTTTTAAAAATGTAGTTAATTAATGTATAGTGCTGGGATTGAGCCCAGGGTCTTCACGATGAGCCACCTCCCTGGCCCTTTTTTACTTTTGAGATAGTCTGACTAAGTTGTTAAATTGCCCAGGCCAGGCGCAGCCCAGGACTTCCCATCATGCCTTGGTGTCCCTGTCCCTGGCCTCACCTCTGTGACTCCACCCTCCCACACACTCACCTTAGTCACCCTGTTTGATTAAGCTTCTGTTTCCTTTGGGAGCTTCAGTGATAAACAAGGCAGCAGAACCCAGAGAGTGACAGGTAAGACAGAGTCGAAAGCTCTCTAATGTCTTCACTGACCATAATTTTGTAGCAGAACATGAAGCAAAATGTGGCCCTCCTAGAGATAAAATGCACAAGTTTCCAGTGCTTTTTTTAAGCACCATTAGAATTCTGCTTATAATTACTGTAGTAATTTTCACTCGGGAACAAGAGGGGCAGTTGCATAATGCTGTGTTCCTCAGGCAGATATTTTATTTCATTCCTGGATGGCTACATACATTCTACATGGACACAGAACAGCCTGTGAGGGGAACAGCAGAAGGTGGGCTGATTCCAGGATGTTAATCTAATCTGTCTGTGCTCACTGCCCGGCACCCTGGAAGCTTTAACTCATCTCTGTGTATCTTTTAAATGGGACTAATTTTATCTGCGCCTTGACCATATTAAGTAATAGTTTAAATCTGGCCCTCTTTTTCTTCTCCAAACGCACAAGATCATTATTATGATTTGCTTAAATAAATAAGTTCTGATAATTACGTGTTTTGCAAAACTCTGCACTTTTCGTACTGCGCTCTTCCTGCTCCACACGGGACTTTGATCACGAGGGCTGGGCTCTCGGCTCTGAGAGAGCTGGTTCTCTTCCAAAGCCCACCTCCACTCACTGCTGCAATGCAGTCACAATCTGGCCACACAGGGCACAGGGCTGGCGCAGAAGGGCCTGCACGGAGTGTGCACAGAGTGCGAGCAACTTAGCAAGACCTTGGCTCAAAAGAAAAAACATGAAAAGTAAGAAAAAACTTAAAGGGCTGAGGATGTAGCTCATGGTGAAGGCCATTAAGCAAAAACAAAATGCTGGGGCCGGGGATTTAGCTCAGTGGTTCTGCCACCTGCCTCGCAAGCACAAGGACCCAAGTTCAATCTCCAGTACCAAAAAAAAAACCAAAACCAAAACCAAAAAAACTTTGCTGGGGCTCAAATGAATTAACGTGTATTCTACATGCTTGATATTACTAAGCACATTTTGTTTTTGGTCCTGGGGATCGAACTTGGGACCTTGAGCTTGCAAGGCAGGCAGCTGCACCACTGAGCTAAATCTCCAGCCTGCACAATGTACTTTTGTCACAGTTTCCGTAGTGATATTTAGAAATTCCAAACCAAAGTGTTGATCAAATTGACCTATCACCTCTCACCCTAGGTGCGCGCTCTCTCCCGCCTTCTCTCTCTTACACACACACACATACACACAGCACACGTACACACATCCCATTCCCTTAGAGATAAGGATACTTTTTCTTGATTTCCCTACAGGACTTTTCCTTCCATTTCTAGCCACACATCCTTCCTTCCGGTTTCCTGAACCTCTATCTCAAGAATCACCCTGCATGGGCTCCTCACAAAGCCCCTTGAGCCCAATCTCTGTCTCTACTGCAGCCTTTGAGGCTCCTCACCCTGGGCACCTTGAAAAGGGTATCTTTAAAATCAGGCCCCTCTCCCAGAGGGTCACCTGGGCAGCACAGAAGTCTGGTCCTCTAGAGAGGTTCCTCTGCCTCCTTCTTGCGGAATGAATCTAATTCCTTCCTCGGTTCTAACCCATTATTTCTTATGGGAATTAGCTGAACATTGACACATCTGCATCTAATTCAAACTCCATTTTTCTGGGCTTCAAGTTTCCCTGAACACGCCCAGGCATGACAATGAGTTTTTTGAGTGTTGGTTGCAAACAAATCCTTTAGTAACCCCGCCCGAGTGTGCATTTACCTCCATCCAGGGAGGCAGCCCTTTGATTGCTGACTCACAAGACAAGGCCCTGTGAAGTCCCCAAATCAGGAAGGTTATTCTCATCTCAGAAATCTGTCTGGTTTTGATTCAGCGACACAGGTTGTGCGGTTGTTCAGCTTTCCTATTTATTTTAGTGGCAAGAAAATGAGACCAAAATTTTGCCCCCAGCTCTATATTATGGGCTGAACCGTGTTCCCCCAACTGTGTGCCAAAGCGCCCCAGAACAGGACTGTACTTAGAGCTGTGCCTTTAATTACGCAAGTAATTAAATTGAAATGAGATCATTACTGTGGACCCTGATCCAATCTGACGGGTGTCCTCAAATGAAGAGATTAGGACTGATAAGGAGACGCCTGGGAGGTTAGCACACAGAGAAAAGGCCACGAGGAGAGACCACAAGAAGGCCATGGAGGGAGTCCTCAGAGGATACCAATCTGGTGACACCTTTTCTTGGATTGCAGCCTCCAGAACTGTGCAGTAGTTTCTGCTGCATGGTCTCTCCAGCAAACTGACAGCTCTAGTAGAAGAAGGGGGTTGCAGCTGGAGCATTTCTGAGGGGATGTGGAAGTGGCTTTGGAACTGTGCGGTCAAGAGACCTGGAAGCATTTTGAGGTAAATACAAGAAGAAACCTTGACTGCCTTGGAGAGATTCGTAGTAGAAATAGCAGCATTAAAGGTGATCTGTTGCAGTTTCAGATAGAAATGGGGAGCAATCCTGGGAAGACAGCAATCCTTGTGAAAACTGGCAAAGGCCATGGCTGAGCTGGCCGGTGGAGTTTTGTGGAAGCTGGAACTTGTGAGTGAGAAGCTTAGGTATTTAGCTGAGGAGAGCACTAAGCAAAGTGTTGAAAGTCTGGCCTGTGAGAGGGACATGGGTTTAGGGAGACCGGGATGGAAGGTTCCTAAACTTCCTCCACTGAAATCCTGTCCCTGAACGTGATGGTATTGGGAAGTGGGGCTTGGAAGGGTAATTAGGTCGGAAGGCACAGGCTCATGAATAGGATCAGTGCTCTTAAAAAGGAGCCCTGGAGAGCTCTCTGTTGCCAGCATTTGAAGATGCAACAGGAGTTAGTATTCAGCAGGCTGGAAAAAGGGCTCCCCAGAACCTGCCCTTCCAGTACTCTGACCTTGAACTTCAGCCTTCAGAACAGTGAGAAATACATTTCTGCTGTGCCCAAGACACCTACTTGATGTGGTTTTATTGTAGCATCCTGAATGGACCAAGACTCCTGGCCTTTTTCCAGGTTTGTGTTATTGATGTGTCCATACCTTTGTGTATTCCATTCCTCTCAGCTTACATTAAATTTAACTTACTGTAATCTACGTAGTTCCGAAAGCCAGTTTATATCCTTTGAAATCTGAGGCCTGTAATCAAGCTACCAAAAAAAAAAAAAAAAAAAA